CTCCCACTGACTCCCACTGACTCCCTCTCCTGAACCTGGACACTTACAATCCTAAACACAGAGGAAATCAGAAATCACAGCTGACAATAAAAGAAACAAACATCTTTTAAAAATGAACATTTATTAACATGTGCAATTAAAAAATGTAATTCTTCACTTCTCATATACATACTTAATACTTTCTTTTCAAGTTGTCCCACTTCTTTTTGGCCTGCAGAGGGGTGACTTTACCCTGCAGGCCCATCTTCTCCAGAAGTGTCCTTATAACATACACAAAAATAAATGAAGAGGAAACATGTAAGCTGTCAATCCCGTCTTGTAAAAATAGTTTTCATTGCAGAACACAAAAGGAAAGCCAGTGGAACTCCATTGAAAGTTTACTCCATTTAAGATCACAGGTCATAAGTATTTTAATAACTATTATGATAAGTTTATTCTTGTACCTCCATCCCACAGCGGCCGAATTCTTAAACCCCGTGAAGAGGTGTTCATTTTTTCCCTCAGCTTTATTAAAGCTTCGGTCTGCTCCTTGGACCCTAAAAAATAGCAAATAAAAAGTCTCAATTTAAAAACTAGCTTAATTAGCGGGAATACACGAAAAACTAAAGGACCGGCCATAAAAGCTCTTTCACGATATTTCTGAGATAAATATTAYTTTAAAACATATATATGCAAAGGACTAAAGCCTAACAATACAGCCGCTTTTTATTTTCCATTTTTTTACCAGCAGATTTTAATATACTTACATTTAAAACTGTACTCCTCCATCGCTTCGACTCTCGCTTCGTCCACCATTACAAGAAAAAAAGAATCTCCGGTCAGGCCGCAATGCATTATGGGATATGCTGGGCCGGAAAGGATTCCTCAGACCTGTCCTTCAAATCGGGGAAAAGGAAGGACGTATTTGTCGGCCGCATCGGAGGAGTCTTCGGTTTTGGACGTCCTTCGTTGTGGCGCTGTGACGTATGCGGCCAACGAATTCGGCCTTCGGAGGACCCGGCCTGCCGTTTTGGACACAGCCTCTGACTCCACTCTCTAAAAAACTCCTTCTCCTGTCATATGACTTTCTGACTCCACCCCCTTCCTTTCTTCAGCCCTCCTCTCGWGTTCACCCCCTTTTTACAGCTCAATTCAATACTTTTTATTTTATAAATGTTATTTTCAAATGGCTTTATCCCTACAATACATGTTTTAATAAAAAACAGCATTTTTAGTGAAATTTCTGACAATGAGTGACTTTTGTTATTTTTACTCATTAGTTTTGTTTGTGCTCCAGATTACTATCACACAATCAGTCTTTCTCATCCAAAGTGGAAATAAAAATAAACCTGTTACTTGTTGTTATTTATCATCCACAGGCACTTATACTCTGTATTTATCTGAATTTTACGATTTTTATGTTTGACTTATACTAATAAATACTACTAAAGTTATAATATTGGAAGATTTTATTTTTAACATAATGTTGGAAATGGTAACTTTAGCCTTTAGTAATGTAGCAGAGTCAATTCAGTTTACTCAAAATGTCCACAAATCTACTCGTTCTTTTTCATGATCTGGTTGATACATGGTATATAGAGTAAAAAACTTAATAATACACCCTCACAAACCTGTTCTCTCTGACCATTTTTAAATAACCTCATAGTTTATGTTATTTCTCTGTCCTACAGAATAATGCAACAGAGAGTGGTAGCTTGGATGACTTTGATTATATTAACTTCTCTTGATAAAATGACACCAAGGCTTTTTGACTCCATACAGCACGCATCCACTCTCCATCTGACTGTGGAAAAAATAGAATATTTTCTCCAAAAGTCACACAACCAGCCATTCTCATCCACAGTGGAAATAAAAATAAACCTGTTACTTCTCGTTATTTATTGTCTACAGGTCCTTACTCTCTGTTTTTTTATCTGAATTCTCCATTTTTTGTCTGATTTATTATTAAATACTGATGAAGTTATAATATTGGAAGATTTTAATGCCTGCATATTGCCTAGTAATAATTTTGTTCTTCTTTAAATGTTATTAGAATGTTATCACAGACTAGTTCTAGGAGCTTACGCTAAAAACAGTGGACGTAACCAGGAAGTGGAAGGGAGGGCTGGGGCTGGAATTTTACCGGAAATACGTCATTAAAGGCCATGGCATATAGGCTAATCTTCAGAAATATGACGCGTTTTAACCGCATGGATGGCGCTAGTCTAAAGGCTAATCCACAGGTATAACTCTGAGCCAACACTGTCCGCAAATTAAAAAAAAAAAAACTTTTGTGCTTCAACCTCAGATAAAAGCAAACATTCTAGAACTTACCCAATTGAGAACAGACCTGAAGATTGTAGCGTGTCACATTAAAATTCAGAAGTCACATGAAAGATAGCTGCTCATGTCACTACAGCATGAAGCGAAGATTTGCGCCCTCTGCTGGTCTGGATGTCCGAAATTTCGTTAATTTCTCTGTAGTAGTAATTCGAATCAAAAAGTTGTTGAATAGCATACATATCCACTCCAAGACGATCATTTTGATATAAACTTTGTGGGGGTACATGCTCCGGTTTGAGCTGCATTAAAAGTGGTGGAAGAAGAATAAAGAAAAAGAAAGACTAGGTGTAGAGTAATGGATTTGCCATTACATGGCAAGCCCCAATCAAGAATGGAAAAAAAGTAAAATGAACTCTAAACTCATTTGAAAATCTATCACATTAATTTCCTGATCTCGGCCAGCAGTGATTTTAAAACCAGGATGATTCATACATGAACCAGTTGATGAACCTGTCTCTAAAATAGTTAAGGAATCAAGTGTTTATTTATGTAGATAAAAATGTGTTTAGCAACTTGTTAAAATACTCTAGAATGCAGGAAACAGCATCTGCTTTCATCCAAATTTCCTGGGGGAGACCCCCCAGAGCCCCCACCAGTGTGTCCTTCACACACACTACAGTGCTTCTGATGGCCATGAGTAGCAGCAAAGACGAGTATAGTAGGAACACTTGTGCAAAAACACTAGTCTGTCTCCTGGTGCTTGTGTGTGTTGTGTATTTTCAACTACTAAGTAGGAGTTTGAATGAATGCAAGAAGATGATTAAAAAAAACTCAATAGACCTCTGAAAAATTTGTCCCCCTCACTTCTGAGATGGTGATTACGACCTTGTTAATACGTCTATGAATGAAGGATAATGTAAAAACACAAAGAAGCATAGGGTTATTTAAACAAACAAGAGGGTTATTTAACCTAAAATTACTCAAAACAATTTTCAAACCAAACTCCATTAAAACATCTGCTACAATAATAATTGTACATATTGTTAGTGCGAGCAAGCATATTAAAAATAATGCATCAAGCGAATAATAAAAATTATAATAATAAAAAAATCCTTTTTAATGCAGGTAGTCTATGACTTTTTTAATGAAGGGGTGGGGCGTTAGGGGTCCTTAATCATGGCTAGGGGGGCGCTGGCCCAAAAAAGTTTGAGAACCACTGAGTTAGAGCATCCTTTCAGAAACAAGGAAAATTMTTGYAGTGATTTTATATCCTCACTTTTATGACTGGTCAGTTGTTAATTTTATCCACATAGGCATGTGTAAGTTTGTGTTTGTTTCCAAAATATTYAGAAAGAC